CCAGCTTTCCTGTGGGATTAAAAAACGCTGCAAAACACTACTACCTACTTGAAAACGCACAGCAGGGGCGGCCGTGTGATCACCGATGTGCCCGTCTCCTGCAGCATACGAGGCCCCCTGCCGAAATCCACATGTGCACACATGCGCAGCTGACTTGCCTCCCTCTCCTGTCTGTGGCTTCCCCCTCGGCATCTGATCACGCTAGGGAGCATATGCGCGGCGGCCCGGGGGATCTGTCTGATCCCGCTGCCGCGCCTCTCTTTTGCTGCGGCTCTAGTTGATTATGAAGGCCCTAAGGAAACTGTTGGATATTGTAACTCTGCATGCAAGAGGACTGGGCGGGGGAGTTAAGTGAAAAGTACTGGGTCCAGACGTGTTGGTAAGTGAAACAGCTCATAGTTTATTTCAGCTTGGGAAAACAAGACAAGGAAAGCAGGACCGGAGGCCTGCTTATATTCCCATTGTGAACCACACCCAAACACCCACCCACACCTGTGATAGGATTATTTATAGTGCACTTGCATTCCATAGGTCACTCTAGGATCCTGACCACTCGATTGGGTGCATTCTAGGATCCGTGCTGGCTATTGTCTTGGAGAGCGAAGCTTAAGCCATTCATATGGCTGTGTGAGGACCCGACCGCGTGCGCGGGCTATGTAAGAACACAACACCAAGACAATACATTCTCTCTCGTACACTTGGCAGTTGCCCCCGCCCCTCAGTTAGATGTTGAGCCTCTCTGGCCCTTGATGGCCTTCTGCTTTATCTTATTTTGGACCTCTCCTCTTTTCTCTCTTACCTGGGCTTGGAGCTGTAGCAAGTTAACCTTTTTTTCTTTTCTTTTTTGAAGTTAATCTGTTCGCAAGAAGTTAAATGTACTTACATGAATATGTCATGTAAGATGTGCTTCTATTTTTGTAAGTAAAAAATTCTTTCTCTTGTTACCATTGGAGTCATATTATTTGTTTGAACAGCATTTCCCCTTAACGGGGAAAGCTGGAGGATTGGGGATGTCAAGGAAAATAGAATTCCTTCTTTTTTCTGCAAACATTGGTTCAGGCTTCGGTTTCAAATACTGGGCCTGAGATGAAGCTGTAAAACATAGAATGGAAAAATACTGCTTTTGTTTTGGGAAGTTGGGCACTCTGGCCTTGTGCCTCTTAAATAACAGTGCAGCTGTGGGGAATGAATCTGTACCTATCTGGTTTTCACCAGTTAGCTGCATTCCTTTCAATTAGAGATCAGGATTTACACCTGGTGGACATGGGCAGCTAGACTGCATGCTCCCTCTAAGCTGTGGTGTCTTGCGAGCAAGAATTCTACTGCGTGAGCTACTGGCATTAAAACTGTGAGTGAACGATTTGGCTACTGCATGAATTAGTCTGCTCTGGAGCCATCCCTCCTGAGCTAAGAAAAAAATATGTGAGCCGGAGGCTAAAAACCTGTGAGCTAGCTCACACTGACTCAGCTTAGAGGGAACACTGCAGCTGTCTCAACATTTTCGCTTGAGGTTGACTTCACTTGTCATCTGCTTATGACATAACCAAACTGAGATCTGATTGGTGTAAAGGACCCTTGGAACACATTGGATCACATCACGGCCATAAAGAAGTTAGTAGGGTTGCCAGCTCTGGGTGGGGAAATATCTGGAGATTTTGGGGTGGAGCCTGGGGAGGGCGGGGTTTGGAGAGGGGAGGGACCTCGGCAGGATATAATAATAGAATCATAGAATGTTAGAGTTGGAAGGGACCTTGCAGGTCATCTAATCCAGCCCCCTGCACTCTGCAAGAGCATAGCCTAAAGATGGTTGTCCAACCTCCAATTGAAAACGTCCAGCGGAGCACCAACCACCTCCCGAGGCAGTAGAATAATAATGCCGTAGAATTCATCCTCCACTGCAGCCATTTTCTCCAGGTGAACTGATATTGGTAGTATGGAGATTAATTGTAATAGCAGGAGATTGGCAGCCCAATAAATTAGACTTTTGCCTTGTTACTAAGTATGTGGAGCAAAGCTAATCGTCATGCCGGATGGTGTCTTGTTAACTGTTTGCTATGGGCCAAGAATTCTGTTGGTCTTTGCTTCCTTTGATTGTTGCAGCAACTTCAGCTTCTGGAATGATAGCATCTGGTAACATCTGAACCAATGTCTTCACTGTGTAGCTAGACTTTGAATTTAGTTTGTTGTTTTGATTCCTCACTGCCAAGTTCTCTTTGATATATCCTTGCACAATTTTAATAAATCTTAAAAAAAAATATTTTGTTGAATTTTATTCTCCAGATGGCTTCAATCTAAATCCAGATATCTAGACCATAGCGCTCACCTACCAGGTTAACTATTTTGTCGAAACTCATTCTATAAGTGTCTGACCTTGCAGGGCTGATTTTCTGGTTAAATCCTGGAAAAGGATAAAGTCTTGCCCTTTGGCTTCTGATTGTTGAGATAGACTCAAAGGGATGGTGGCAGCTACTCAACTGGAGCGTATGGGGTTCCAGGGTTTTGTTTAATTTTGTGTTATGCGGCTCTTATCAAAATCTTCCTTGGACAAGGGTCCTCTTCTGGAACACTCAAACTTTAACCTCTAGATAGCAAATCCCACTGCAATTTAGATTGTGACATGTTTCTAGAAAGGTGGTGGTGTATTCCTCACTGCCAAGTTCTCTTTGATATATCCTTGCACAATTTTAATAAATCTTTTAAAAATATATTTTGTGGAATTTTATTCTCTGGACAGCTTCATCTAAATCCAGATATCTAGATCGTAGCGCTCACCTACCAGGTTAACTGTTTTGTCGAAACTCATTCTACAAGTGTCTTGCAGGGCTGATTTTCTGGTTAAATCCTGGAAAAGGATAAAATCTTGCCCTTTGGCTTCTGATTGTTGAGATAGACTCCAAGAGATGGCGGCAGCTACTTAACTGGAGCGTGTGGACACACATTCCAGGGTATTGTTTAATTTTGTGTTATGTGGCTCTTATCAAAATCTTCCTTGGACAAGGGTCCTCTTCTGGAACACTCAAACTTTAACCTCTAGATAGCAAATCCCACTGCAATTTAGATTCTGACATGGTTCTAGAAAGGTGGTGGTGTCAGTCTTTTGAAGCCAGGCTAAAGAGTTTTGTGGCATCTTAAAGGTTAAGGTGAAAATCTCAGATATACTGCAAAGCCATGGAAGGTTATAATGTGATTGTAAATGAACCTTCATGCATGACAATACATCAGTTCAGAAACCTGGCATACTCTGTTTTTTTGTTAAGCAGGTGCCCCTTTGCACAGTGGACCTGTGCTGCTGCTTAGCACTTAAGTTCACATGAGACTGGCTGCTTCAGAATAAAAACAGTCCTTTATTATGAGGAACTACAAACTGGATAGGAAAGAACAGAGATGGTATTCTACACTATCTGCCGGTTTCTCGAGAGCTATAACCCCTCCTCTGAAACCTGTGTGTGTGCTGTCCCTTTCTTTACTGTTCATTTTCCATGCAACATACCAACAGTGTGAGAGGGGCTAGTAGTGCTTTAAGAAGCCCAGGTGAATTTGGTCTAACAGATTTACTGTGACAGAAGCTTTCACGACTACATGCATGAAGATAGATAATTTCCTGCTCACCCTTGACCTATATGTATGGACTGGTAACTTCCATTTCAATGTATCTGAAGAAGTGTGCGTACACACTTGAATAAAGCTTTGCTGGTCTTAAAGGGTGGTGCCACCGGGCTCAAACTTTGTTTTACATGCATGAAGTATGCCACAGAGGCACGATCCGATGAGAAGTGAAGTTCTGTGACATTTCCATGCTAAGCTCAAATGTATACAAGCACAACTGATCACAGCTGTTAGCAGCTGAGAAGACAATCTTACTGGGCTTGCCATGCTGACGCCTGTAGTGAGCAAGAGGAATTCAAGAGTCTTTGCTGAGCGCTGGGTGGACAGAAAGTGCCATCAAACTTTCTGATAAATTCTAATTGTTCAGTTTCACACTCAGTGTTCCCTTTGGGAAGTTTTTCTCTTGGCTAACACTGACTTAAGTCAGCAACAAACACAGTTGCCAGCTCTGGGTCGGGAAATATCTGGAGATTCTGGGGGTGGAGCCTGGGGAGGGCAGGGTTTGGTAGGGTTCCCAACCTCCTGGTGGGGCCTGGGGATCTCCCGCTTTTACAACTGATCTCCAGCTGATAGAGATCAGCTCCCCTGGAGAAAACGGCTGCTTTGAAGGGTGGACTATGGCAGGCATGTCCAACTTCGAACAGGTAGTGATCTGTTTTTCCCCGCCAAAAGTGCCGGTGATCTACCACCATGAAAATAAAGTTTCAAATTAGTTTCAAATTAGATTTTAACCCATTAAAGTTGGGTTCCACTGTTGGCCCCCCCCATTTATAATGCACCTTCTGTCATTTACTGGTAAGCAAAAACAAAGAGAGACAAAGATCCAGAAAGAACTGCGAACATTTTTTACCACCAATCATAAAAAAAAACCCCAAACACCTGTCCAGCAAACCAGGAGACCAAGTGGGGCTGGTGATCTACCTCAGACCCCTCCCCGATCTACTGGTAGATCCCGATCTACCTGTTGGACATACCTGCTCTATGGCATTGTACCATGCTGAGGCCCCTCCCCTCCCCCAACCCCGCCCTCTCCTGGATCCACCCACAAAGTCTCTAGGTATTTTCCAACCCTAGGGTTTGGGGAGGGGAGGGACCACACCAGGATATAATGCCATGGAGTTCACCAGCCAAAGCTGTCATTTTCTCCAGGGAAACTGATCTTTCTCGTTGGGAGATCAAAGGTAATAGCGGGAGACTGGCAACCCTAGCAACAAAGCATTCTAGGACAACGTCCACGTGGCTTCCTGCAGCAGGATGCATTCCGGTGGTTGCAGTCCGGCGTTCCCCAACCATCACCACTTTTCTCCAGCCGCACGGCGGTGCTTGCCCACAAAACTACAACCCCCAGAATGCTTTCCCGTTGCGGGCTTCTATGCGCGAGTAGGAGAAGCAGGAAGGACATCGACTCGGCAGCAAAGACGACAGCAATTGGCCTGCTTTTTGTTGCCGGCTGTGTCGGAAGATACCGTCTTCTGGAACTCCCAAAGGTCTCACCTCTGTTCTGGGTGCGTTTGATAGGTTCTGGGGTCACATAAATTGCACTTCCCTACTTGCCTCTCGTGTTGTTGTAAACGCCTGTTTGCGCGTAGCTCTTTGGAAGGTTTCTGCTAGACGGCGGGCGGGTGGGGGTGTTTGCAAAGTCCACACTATTCTTTTTTATTACAGAACTTAGATTCCCTTCCCCTCCCTTGTTTTAGTTGGCGCATCACTGCAGAAGACAAGACCCGACCTCTGAAAAGGAGAAAAGCGCACATATAATCGCCCCGCCCGTACGGAAAAGCAGCCCCCCGAGCTGATGATCTGGATACGGTACAGGGAATTTGCTATCAAGGAAAGCGTCAAGGACTTCATGCGGGCCTAGGCGGAGCTGCCTGGAACGCTGATCGGGGCGGACGGGGGCGCCGCCATCCCGGGACCATGAGGAACGACCTGTCGGTGGCGTTTGCCGGCGTCAGCGGGGCGGGAAGCGTCCTACGGAGCAGCGAGCCTGTCTCTCCCTCCCCGGTGGCGTCCCACGCGGCCTCCCTGTTGGAGGAAGCGGCGGATCTGTTGGTGGTGCACATGGACTTCGCCTCTGCCGTCGACCGCTGCGAGAAGGGCTGCGAGAGCCTTTTGGGGGAGCTGGAGAGTGAAGACTCCGGCAGGTATGGATTGAACCTCATGACTGGGAATCAGGGCTCCCTCTAAGCTGAGTTAGTGTGAGCTGGCTCACAGATTTTTTAGCCTCCAGCTCACACATTTTTGTCTTAGGAAGGATGGCTCCGGAGCAAACTAACTTATGCAGTAGCCAAATCGCTCATTCACAACTTTAATGCCAGTAAGCTCACAAAGTAGAATTTTTGCTCACAAGACTCCACGCCTTAGAGGGAGCATTGCTGGTGCTGTTCATCCAAAAGAACCAGGCAGATCTGGGCTGCAGTTGCTCCTAAGGGGCGTGTTAAAGGTCCTTGTTTCCTGTGTGTTGTGGTCATTGCATGTTATGGCAGAGGAGTGAGGGACGGTGCTTGTTTTGCTGCCCATAGCTGGCAAATGAACTTCCAGATTGCAACCGGGGACCATGCAATAAGGTTTGGATGTGGAGGGTTGATTTCAAAAACGAAGAGGGTGCTGGAGGATCAGGCCTATTCGCATGAGGCCTCTTCCCTAGAGAAATGCCATGAGCTGTGCTTATCTTGTGGTATGGAAAGGGCATTGAATGCATGCTTAGAGGCACTGTCATCTTTGAGTTGCCTGGCTGAGCCTTGGCACTTCAGCCTTCTGAGAGTGAGCCTGTGTTCACACATGCACAAACCCCTTATATGTACAATGTCATGTGCGATAAGGTGTGTATCTATTCATCTGTCACAAAAGGGTGGATTGATTGCATAGGCGGGGGGTAGGAGTGCATCCATGTGACATTCTCTGTATAGTGTACAGTGGCTTTCCAGGACTCCTGTGCCTTGACGTGTAGAAATTTGGTGGTGGTGGGGAGCCCAATCCTCTGAACTGATGATGCCTCAAGTTACCCCTTCAATGCTCAGTGCAGTATTGCAGCAAAGTTATTTAAGATGCTGTCCAGGATGTTTTTGACAGGGTTCCCCATGATGTTCTGATGAGCTATGGACTGGACTCTAGGATCGTTAGGTGGATAGGGAACTGGTTGGAGAACCACACTCAGAGAGTAGTTGTCAGTGGCATTTCATCTGAATGGAGGGAGGTGTCCAGTGGGGTGCCACAGGGCTCAGTTCTGGGCCCGGTACTTTTCAATATTTTTATAAATGATCTGGATGAGGGTGTGGAGGGGCTACTCATTAAATTTGCAGATGACACCAAACTGGGAGGAGCAGCGAACACACCAGAAGACAGAGATAGAATTCAAGGAGATCTGAACACACTGGAAAGGTGGGCAGATAACGAACAAGATGCAATTTAACAAGAATGTGCAGAGTTCTAAATCTGGGTAACAAAAATACTGAATGATGGATACACTTTTGAGTAGCAGTGTGCGCGCACAAGATCTTGGGGTATCGGTGGACCATAAATTAAATATGAGCAGTGAGTGTGATGCAGTGACAAAAAAGGCTAATGCGATCTTGGGGTGTATCAACAGAGGCATAACATTAAAATCACAATATGTGATAGTCCCGCTGTACACTGCATTGGTCAGGCCGCTCCTGGAGTATTGTGTGTAGTTCTGGAGGCCTCACTTCAAAAAGGATGTGAACAGAATGGAGCGGGTGCAGAGGAGAGCAATGAGGATGATCAGGGGCCTGGAGACCAAGCCCTACGAGGAAAGGCTTGAGGGACTTGGGAATGTTCAGTCTGGAGAAGAGGAGGGGGGAGGGGACACGATTGCTCTCGGAGGAGGGCAGGGAGCTGTTCCTGTTGGCAGCAGAGGACAGGACAGGAAGGCAGTAGGAAAAACTTTTTGACAATCAGAGTTGTGCCACAGTGGAATCAGCTGCCTTGGGAGGTGGTGAGCTCTCCCTCACTGGCAGTTTTTCAGCAGCATCTGGACAAACACTTGTCAGGGATACTGTGTAGGCTGATCCTGCACTGAGCAGGGGGTTGGAGTAGATGGCCCGTAGGAGCCCTTGCAGCTCTGTGATTCTATGTATCTCTTTGCAAATGTTAATCTCTTTAGCTCCACCTGAAGAGGGAAAATCTGAGCTTCAGTCCTCCCATAAAAATAGAAGAGAGCTTTACTACAGCCTGTGAGCTATAGATAGGAAGTCTTAATTTTTTCTGTAGTTATTGGAGAGGTGTCGGGGTCTGGTTAAACTGCCCTCAGGGTTAGAATGCTGCTTGCAACCATAACATTCCCCTCTCTCTGTTGTTGTTTGTTGTGTCTTCTTTCATGAACCAGCTCTGAAGAACTGAGGTGCTCCTTATGCGTCGTGGGTATCCAGGCCCTTGCTGAAATGAACCGGTGGAGAGAAGTCCTCCCATGGGTCCTCCAATACTACCAAGTTCCGGCATACTTGCCTCCCAAACTTCTGGAACTGTGGTGAGTTCCTCTCATGTATACAGATCAAGTTCTCACTAAGGTGGTAAACCCATGTTTGGGCTGTACCATTCAGACTGCAGGTGAAGGGCTGATATTATAGAACGTCATACAAAATGATTCTATGCAGGCAGAAAACCAAATGTTAGTAACAAGTATTTTAGCATAGTCTTCTCCCTGAACACTAGCTTACTTCATGCAGTGTATTTTTTGTATGGCTCCTGGAAGCCCCATAGTAATCTCACTGTGCTTGCTTCCAGGGCTCTTTTTGTAGAAAAAGCCCAGCAGGAACTCATTAGCATAATATGCCACACCCAACAGCAGGAACTCATTAGCATATTGGGCCACACCCCTGACAGCACAGCTCATTAGCACATTAGGACGCACCCCCATGTTACCAGAAGTGTGGTCATCCAGCCACACCCACCTTTTGCTTGTTATTCTGTTTACCTTGTTTGTTGTCAAAACCCAGGGCCTTTTTTTGCAGCAGGAACTCCTTTGCATGTTAGGCCACACAACCCTAATGTAGCCAATCCTAATGAGTTTCTGCTGTTGGGGTGTGGCCTATTATGCTAATGAGTTCCTGCTGGGCATGTCCAACTTGGGAGCCAGCCGGAACTCCGTTCCTGTGCGTTCCTGCCCAAAAATAGCCCTGCTTCCAGGTTAGGATAATAGAATCATAGAGTTAGAAGGGACCTCCAGGGTCATCTAGTCCAACCCCCTGCACAATGCAGGAAATGCACAAATACACAGCCCCCCAGTGACCTCTGTTCCATGCCCAGAAGATGACAAAAATCCTCCAGGATCCCCGGCCAAACTGGCCTGGAGAAAAATGGCTTCCTGACCCCAAAGATGTGATCAGCATTTCCCTGGGTGTGTAAGAAGGGGCCACAAGAACTAAGCACTGAGGTAACCCTTCCTGCCCTCCCTCTCATGATCCGCCTTAGTTCACAGAATCTGCATTGCTGTCAGATGGCCATCTAGCCTCTGTTTAAAAACCTCCGAAGAAGGAGAGCCCACCACCTCCCGAGGAAGCCTGTTCCACTGAGGAACCATAACTGTCAGGAAGTTCTTCCTAATATTTAGCTGAAAACTCTTCTGATTTATTTTCAACCCATTGGTTCTGGTCCGACCTTCTGGGGCAACAGAAAACAGCTCCACACCATCCTCTAGTTGGCAGCCCTTCAAGTATTTGAAGATGGTGATCATATCACCTCTCAGTTGTCTCCTCTCCAGGCTAAACCTTTCATTCTCATTCAAAATCTCATTCAACCTTTCCTCATAGGGCTTCCAAATGAATTTTACTTAAATGGGGGATGGGCTGCTTTTTCCTGCACCTACAATCTCTGAAGTTGGGTGGTAGAAAGTGCCGTCAAGTCACAGCCGACTTATGGCAACCCCATAGGGTTTTCAAGGCAAGAGACATTCAGAGGTGGCTTGCCATTGCCTACCTCTGCATAGCAGCCCTGGACTTCTTGGTGGTCTCCCACCCAAGTACTAACCAGGGTGCACCCTACTTGCCTTCTGTGATTGGATGAGACTGGCTATCCAGATCAGAGCTTCCAGAGTCTACTGATATATATATGTATTTTAAATTTGTAAAGCAAAAGTGCATACTCAAGTTTTCTTACCAAAGTACATGTGAAGTAAGCCTGGTTGTGTTTGCGCTTGTGCTTAAGAACGTAAAAAGAGCTCTGCCAGATCACCCCAAGGTTCATATAGTCCAGTCAGTGTTCTCTGCAGGAATCTCAGCAGTTCACGGGGTCTAGGTGGCCAGTGTTCCAACTTCTTTCTGCCCTTGGCTTCAGTCACTCGGTTACAACCGCCTATCCTGATTGTCTTTCATGGGTGGGGCGGGGTTATGAAATGGGCATCCTACCCAGTCACTTCTGTCCAGAAGCACCAAAGGTACCTGCAAAAGCTGTCCGCCACTATCCTTTTTGGAGCGCCCCAAGAGAAGCGGCAGCTGTGTTACATCAAACAATCTTGTCAAATATGCATCCCCCCGGGAATTGGGGGCATTTGGACCACACACTCCTCACTGTGCAATACGGGGTATTCGCCTAGAATTGTCTTTTGGCTGTAAGTTTTATATCTGCCCTTTCTGCTTGGGGCAGCATACAGAAGCCTACTTGGCACCGACTTGTGTGAGGTAGATGAAGCTGAACAGGAGAAAGTCACTTGGCAATTCATGGGCTTCACAGCAGACCAAGAATCCAGCTTCCCTGCAGAGTTCAACTCTCTCTTCCTTCTACTTTACTGGCCTTCAGTATGTCCTATGTTTTGAGAACTCCCAATAGTAGACCTATAGAAGCTGTTAGTGCATTAAAGCTGTGTTTTGTTATTCCCTTTCCCCCCCAGCATCCTCCTCCATAGCAAAGTGAAAGAGCCTCATGTGATGCTGGATATCGGGAGCGATTGGTTACGTGCCTCAGCCAATCAGCACCTGCCGACTTACGGCCTGTTGGTTCAGCTGCATCTCTTTCACGTTCTGTTGCCGCTTGGGCACTTTGCAGAAGCACAGGAGATGGTCGAAGGCTGTAAGGCATTAAGCAAGGAGCAGCGGCTGGAGGCACTCAGGATCGTTAGAGAGAAGAGGCAGCAGTGGTTGCAGCAGACAAAGGAGCACCCAGATGCTGAGGTGCGGGCAGAAATAGCGTGGAAGACTCAGCTGGGTAAGGTTTCTTCTCAACCCTCTTCTGCCGTAGGAACCGTGGCTACCCAATTGTGTCCAGGATTCTTAAATAAAGTTGTTGTGTGCATATGTTTCCACGGTGATGGTGTCAGATACCGTCTTAACTGTGCAACAGTTAAACAATTGTTAAATGTAGTTCAGGGTAACTATATTTCTGGGGATACTCTCCCAGAACCATTCCCATTCTTCTGGGATGGAACTCCCAATATCTGTTTTCCTGTTTACCCATAATACTTTTCTCCTTTGCTCTGACTATTAATCGTTTTGACCAATCTGGCCTTTTACTCACTGCTAGGAGATACTCTGATAGGCTACAGAACTTTAGAGAGGAATGTGGTCCATCTGGTCCAGCATCCTGTCTCGGACAGTGGCCAGCCAGTTCCTCTGGAGGGCCAATAACAGGGCATGGAGGCCAAGGCTCTGGGATTCAGAGGCTTAGTGTCTCTGAATGTGGTGGTTCCCCTCAGTCACCATGGCTGGTAGCCATTGATAGACGTATCTTCCACGCATCTATCTAATCCCCCTTTAAAGATGTTTATTCCTGTGGCCATCACTACATCCTCTGGCCACATTGTAATCACTCTCTGTGTAAAGTAGTATTTCCTTTTGTCTGTCCTGAACCTACTGCCCATCAGCTTCACTGGATGCTCTTGGGAGAGGGAGGAAAAATTTCTCTTTGCCAACCCTCTCCACCCCATGCATAATTTAATAAATCCCTTTCATGTCCCACCCCCCTTAGACATCTCTTTTCTAAACTGAAAAAGTCCCAGACTCTTCAGCCTTTCCTCATGGGGAAGGCGCACCAACCCCCTAATCATCTCGGTCACCCTCCTCTGTCGTTTTCCCAGCTCTGCAAAAGTCCTTTTTGAGATACGGTGACCAGAACTGCACACAGTATTCCAAATGAGTACAATATCAGCTGTTTTATTCTCAATCCCTCACCTAATAATCCTTAACATAGAGTTTGACTTTTTCCACTGCTGCAGCACACGTTATTGTCTCAAAAGACTCTTACAAGCTCTCTGTGGGGGAAATACCTCTCTCTTGTGGCCTAATATTCAAAGGAGTTTGTGCTACAAAAAGAGCCCTCTATACAGGTGCATTACAATATCGGCTGTTTTATTCTCAATCCCTCGCCTAATAATCCTTAACTTAGAGTTTGCCTTTTTCACTGCTGCAGCACACGTTATTGTCTCAAAAGACTCTTACAAGCTCTCTGTGGGGGAAATACCTCTCTCTTGCCATTTTCCCGTTGTGACTTTTCCCCTTGGCTGCTTTCCCACTGTGACGTTCTGTTGTTTTGTAGGCTCGGTGTCCCAGAAGGTGTTGACCATCTTGGCACAGCTGGGCCGAGTGCTGGGGTCCCTAGCAGGCCAGTTCAGCTCCATGCCTTACAAAACTGCTCTCTTAGCAGCTTTCATGCTGTTTCTCATCGTTGTGAAACTTGACCCAGGTATGCGAAGGGGAGATGCTTTCAAACACTTACTAGTTTTTTTTAACTTCTGTCTTACAGAGAGATTTGGCACAGCTGGATTTAGAAAGGGGGGGGCTGAGTTATTAGGCAGCTTGGTCTAAGACTGGTGTGTTTGGTGAGGATTGGGACTTCGGGAATGTTTAGAGCTGTGTTGAAGCCGCGCAGATAGCCAGTGATAATAATGTAAGGCTCCAGGGGTCTGAAAGAGGCCAGAATAAGGGCACCAGGTCTTCAGGCAGACTGTAATTGTGTATTCCTGCACTGATCTGGGGGTTGGAGCCAGTGTAGTGGTTAAAATGACTTTCCTTGAGCCACTGTCTCTCACCTTAATTTACCTCACGGCTTAACACACCTCACAAGGGTGGTTGTGACGGTAGTTGTAGATAGAAGTAGCAGGATACTTGTGGGAGAGTATATACAGTTTATTTACAGAGCTATATATAAATACATGCAGCTTTGCAACAGTTCACAGGTCTGACTGACAAAGTGCTTCGCTGAATATCCATTCATTAGGCAGGGTGCTTGGTCAAGAACCTTTCTCAATATATATATCAGTTGACCAATCACTGTTCAGCACTGTACAACTGCTTAGTCATTCTGACTCTGGCAGATATGATGCAACTTCAGTCATCATGTGACTATGTGACTGTCACCTTAGATCATCTGGATCTAACAGCAAGACATGACATGCTGTCATCTTGCCTATACCAACAGGTTGTTGTGAGCAATGTTCCCTCTAAGCTGTGGAGTCCTGAGAGCAAAAATTCTACTTTGTGAGCTACTGGCATTAAAGTTGTGAGCGAGCAATTTGGCGGCTGCATGCATTAGTTTGCTCTTCTGGAGCCCTCCTTCCTGAGCGAAGGCAAAAATGTGTGAGCCGGGGGCTAAAAAACTGTGAGCTAACTCACACTAACTCAGCTTAGAGGGAACACTGGTTGTGAGGATAAAATGGAGGAAGGCAGAAGGTTGCTGTAAGCCCCATTGGGAAGAAAACCGGAGTATAAATATCAGAGTAAACAAATTCGATTGCTTGATCCTCAAGGTTCCTTCCAGCTCTTTGACACTACCCCGGTTCCATGTATCTGATGAAGTGGGCACACACACGAAAGCTTATAACCAGAATTAAACTTTATTGGTCTTAAACGTGCCACTGGACCCAAACTTTGTTGGGTTCCAGAAGTAAGGGAAGACAATGAGCAATTTGGGGGGGCAACCACTAGAATCAGAGGCCAAGGTGTAAGTTTAAGGCCTTCTCTCCACGTATTTCTGCTCCCGTGTTCAGTATTAGTAGTTGGGGGTTCTGGGAGAAAGACACAGGGCCTGTGTGTGTCTGTAAAACTATGAGGCCTTTGAGCTGAGATCTCCAGTCTGCCCCCTGGAGATTGGCAACCATCGCTTAGAAGAACCCAGGAGGATCATGGTTGTGTCTGCAGGCAGCACCAATTCAGTAACAGCTGCCTTCATCGTAAGAGGATGCCTGGCTTGCAGCCTCCAAACATTTTTTGCCCTTAGCTGCTGCACCCCATGGCAACCATTTTGTGACAACACCCACGGCCTCATTTCAGAATTCCAAAAGTGCCCGCAGGCTAACCAAGATTGAGTACCCCTGGCCTAGATATTCTCTGCCCTTGGGTTGCTAGGTGCTGCTCCAGAATGTTTGTTTCAATGATAGCCAGAAGGGGAGATTGAATGTTGAGCAGGGCCTTGAAGACTCCAACCCCAGTGGCTCCTCGTAGGCCAATGCGGGTGAAGAAATAGTGAAAGGAGTTTGGTTGACAGAAAAACCTTTTTGTCACAGTGGGGTTCCAGCTGTGGTGAGGGTTTATTTTAGCTACAAGATAATTTGTGGGACAGATTTCATTAGTAATGCTTAACGCTGTGGCTGGACTAGATAGCTGCCTTGTGTGGGTGAAAAATTAAACACGGTCTTCTTCCTCTCCTCTTCCTCAGCATCTCCTACCTCCCTGCCCTTCATCTACAGACTCACTCAGCTTTTCCATCAAGCCCGCTCGGCTGTATTTTCCCCACATTACAGGCCTCCAGTCTGAGGCGAAACAGGGCCATTTTCCTCAGTAATGAAACTCTACATACTGGAGAACCACTGAAAAGAGGCCCTGTAAGCCAGTTGGAGTGATCCTGTTGCTGTGAGGAGAGAAAAGGTTGCAAGCGTTGTGGAAGCTTCTTCAAGTCTTTAAAAATACTATCTGATTATGCATCTGGCCTGAGAACGATCTTCACTGATTTTTTCTCCCTGTTATCCATCTCTTGAGGAGTCTATGAAGTTACCCACAAGCCCATTGGTGACCTGCCAAAATTCGTGTACTCCTCAAAACACCTTACTTATAAACATGTTCTACTGAGAGCAATGGGGTTTTCCCCCAAGTTAAATGTGTTTGTTTGGAGCATTAAATTACCTCTTCAAATACTTAATGTTTGATTCAACCCCATCTCCTAAAAGAGACATCTCAATTTCTGCTTAATCCTGTGACTTCTCCTGGTGTGTGCTAGAAAATTTGTGTTGTCCTTTCAAGAGTCTTGAGCCATTTTGCTTCCTGGGGAAACAAAGTTTTAGAACTGCCACATATTTTCCGTCTCTCACTTTGGCTGAACAGCAAGCAAAGCAAGGTGTGTTTAGCCACCCTTTTCAACATCACGATGATCCAGGTTGCCAAAAAAAAATTTCTGCCACAGCTCCTGTGCATTTAACAATCTACGTGTGTTAAGTAGGAATTCAACAGCTAGTCTTTCGGAGCATGACGAGACAAAACTTTACCTGCTGTATTTTTCTGTTTGTCACACAAGGCACTTAAAAGGTACAGGAGCCTTACCAAGAAGAAAAGGTGGCGACTCTGGTGGCACTCCACAAATTAATAATGTAGTTTTTGTATAAGAGAGTGCTAAAACTTTTCATCAGCATGTGTGCTGGTTATTTTGAAAAAAACCCCACCTTGATAAGAGGAACTGTTTTCTGTTTTGGGGGGAAGGGTTTCTAAAGATGTTATGATTTTTAAACAGACATTTTAAAGTAGTAGTTGTTAGCTTCCATTTAATCTGTACATTAAAATCATTTCATTTTTTGAAGACTGCATTTGGATATTTAGTGCTGAGGGTTTGGAAGTGGATGCATAAAGTGATTTCCATTGTCTACAGCATAGGTTCCTAAACTTATTTGGCCTATTGCCAACAGGCTGCTTTAGATAGGTTCTGGACTCTTCTTTCTTTATGCTTCCACCGCCCCCTTATTTGTATTCAACACCCCCCCCCCAATTGCACCCAAGCCTCTGACTGCCCACCTGGATCATTCCGGCACCCTCGGGGGGCTTTGGGAACCAGTGGTCTAGAGGAAAGGCATCTTTGCCAAGGAGAGGACAGGTGAACGGTGCAAGTATAGTAACTGGACAGTGGCTGTACTGCATCTTGATCAAGACTGTATTGCTAAGGTAATTCCACAATGGAAAGGCCAAAATATAGTGCCCGTTTCCCCCAAAGACATCCAGTTACAGAAATGCAGCTCTGGAAATGTTACGAAGAACAAGCGTTATGAAGAATTATCTGCTGATTTTCAAAATGGCTGCCAGAGGGTGATTGTTACATGTTAATTTTTAGTTTAGTGTTACTGATCTTTGTATGAACTTCAGCTACAGTATTCTGTGTCTTGTGTCTGTTTAGTCGTAGTACTGCACATCCTGGTTTACCCAAGTGGTTGCCAAGATTCTGGGATTAAAGCAAAAAGTGGAGATTCGTGGTATGGAAAAACTAACAGGAGACCAGAAACCCGTGAATATAATAAAGGATTTATTAAAAATAACTTGTAAATTTTTATCAAATGTTCCAATCTGGATAACGAATATTATATAGAATATCTCTGGGTGCCAGTTTAATATGGGAAACACCTCCAAGTCCCAACAAACTTCCTATCTGAGTCAGTCCTTCTCAGTGAAGCAATGAGGTCTGATGTTGATGCAGACAAGGCGAGCCTGTTAACGGCACCGGTAATATCCCGTTTCCACAGTTCTTCTTCAGGAACAGGGTACCGCAATTGAACATAGTTAATCCATATTGCATTTAATCTTCCTGCTTCCTAGTTTGGTCCGATAAAACAGCTCCAATTTTTTCAGAGGACTCTGTGTTCGAAGACAAAAATCAATTATGTTCGGTTGCGGTACCTGTTCCTGAAGAAGAACTGTGGAAACGGGATATTACCGGTGCCCTGTTAACAGGCTCGCCTTGTCTCCATCAACATCGGACCTCATTGCTTCACTGAGAAGGACTGACTCATAGGAAGTCTGTTGGGACTTGGAGGTGTTTCCCATATTGAACTGACACCAGAGGTATTTTGTATGATATTCGTTATCCAGATTGGAACATTTGATAAAAATGCACAAGTTATTTTTTATAAATTCTTCGTTAGGATTTCTGATCTTTCGTTAGGATTCCGGGATTATGCCGCCGTGCAGAAGAGCTGCATTTGTGTGCTTGAAAGCCATTGGGTGGAGAATTGTCCCTGCACATAGAACATTGAAATGACCAAAGGAAAGGTTCAACCTTGGCCATCTTGATCGTTTCTCCATGTGCTGGACGTTACTTGTTTTTAATGGTGGGGAGTCAGTCAAACCCTAACTTGCAGCATGACATAAGAGTCCAGGGAATTTCTTCACTCGCTTTTAAAGAAGGTTCCATCCTCTTTGGGGGTGCACACCTGTGGCTCTGGCTGAGCCCGTCTCTCTTGAGTGTGGGTGAGTGCTGCAGAGGGGCAGCAGGAGGGAAATGGAGGTTGCCAGGGCTGATTGTGACCTCCGTCCTCCACTGCACTGTGATGCTCCAGGGCACCCCCCCGGGGATAACATGCCTGGCTCAGGCTCCTGGGCACCAAACCGCTGAGAGCGAGGCGGCAGTGGGAACATCGGCACCGGAAGCTGCTGTGGTTGATCAGGAAGGGGGAAGGAGCCCCACTGCAGGCGCCATGGTAAGAAGGGTCTTCTGGGGAAGAACGGCTCTCAGTCCCAAAGAAGCAGGACCAAGGAAACAGACAACTGCTTTTGGCAAATGTGCTGCTCCGGGTCTAGGGCAAAGGAAAGAGAACCAAGGCAACCTGAGCTTCTAGAATGACTGGGGTGTGGATAGGATGTGGAGTGGGGTCACCTCATGCCATAACAGCCTGCTTCTCAAGGCCAAGACAGGCTTCGGGTGTGAATACAATTTAAAAAAAAAGAGCTCACAGAAGAAAACAACTCTTCTATAACTTTAACACACTTATACTTTTTATAAGACATTAGAGAGATGTTGCGTTGATCTGTATTATTGTCATTCCTGCAGTGCTCCCTCAAGCGATGGGTGACAAACACCAACAGAGGGAGAGAGTTGAAAAAGATATATGAAACTGCTGTTTAATCCTAGGAAAGTGTGTTCTCTTTATCTCTTGCATTCCTTGGATCCACATGTTTTCAAAGGAAGGTGATAAATATTGTTTAGGAACTTGAAAAACGAAGAGTTTTCAGTCGGCTTTGTCCACTTCACAGCTCCGTTAGGACGCCCTAAAGAGTACACATTCCAGGAGCATAGCCAAAACAGTGCCAAGAATATTTGCATCAAGATTTTGTATTGTATTCATACCATTATCTACTGGCTTTGCCTATATTTATGAAATGTACTTCACACAAGGATGAATGTTGTCTAGTATAGGAAATTTGTATTATAAACATTATAAAAAGTATAACTAGGGCCCCGGTCACACGGGCCGGAAAATGCAGGGGGGAAGCGTGGCTGTTTGCCCTGAAGCAAAATAATGCGCGGTTGCGCGATCAGACATCCCTTCGAGATCCCGTGGTTAGGGGGGAGGTGGTGATCACAGGACACCCCCCCGCACCTCCCCCTCTGCCGCCCGGTGCAGAGAGTTCCTCTCAAGCAGGCTGAGCCACGAGTGGGGGAGGGTATGGAAAAGAGGAGGGGGCTGGGTTGTTTGTTTTTAAATGAAGTGTGTGCATGGGCCGTTGGGTACTTGTGCGCATCCCGTGGAGACTTGGGGGAAAAAAACTTTTTAGCGACGGGACATGGGCCGGCGCCTGATGCCGCGACCTACCACTGGAAACACGATCAGACGCCCGCCATTGCCCCGAGGTTTCCGGAAACTAGTACCTTGGAGGTACTAGTTTTTTAAGCCGCATCTTCGGCGGGAAGCCTCGGGTGAGCCACAGGAGCTCTACGCCTCCCAGATGTTGCGGTGTGATCGTGCCCGGGAAATCCGCCAATCTTCCATCTCTGCAGCGTGGCTAATGCTCCGTGTGACCGCAGCCTAAGTGTGTTAAAGATATAGAAGAGTGGTTTTCTCTGGTGAGCTCATTTTTTTTATTGCTTCTCAAGGCCAACAGGCTACACCAATGGCCAGAGAATGGATATAACCCAGATGTTTGCATAGGAAGACTAGGAAGGACCCGTTCACATCACGACTGGGCATGTTGTGGCTGTGGTGGGAAAACACTTGGAAAATCCTGCCAGGGTGGGAGGAGGATGGAAAGGCTTAAATGTAGGCTGGGGTAGCATCAAAGTACAATCAATACAGTTAGGTAGAAGTTCTAGGGAGGAAACTGCCTTAATTTGGTGTTTGGCTAGTGGCCAGATACGACTGGGAGGATGAATCTATATCCAGTTTGTTCAAGTGATGCTTCCTACTGCTCATGCTCAAGAGAGGGGCAAACTGATCTGGGCATTTAAATGACATGTGTCCTTAGGAGAGATTGATGCACTTTAATGATGTGTCCTTAGGAGAGATTGATGCACTTTAATGATGTGTCCTTAGGAGAGATTGATGTCCCCTGTAGGGTTGCCAGAAGGTCTGTACAAAAGTGTCCTGTCCCAAACAGGCAGCTTTAACTTCGTGGCATGGAGGTAAATTACATCCCATGAAACTTCTATTAGAGGGTCAGGACCAATTGCTCCCTCTAAGCTGTGGTCTTGTGAGCAAAAATTCAACTTTGTGAGCTACTGGCATTAAAGCTGTGAGCAAGCGATTTGGCTACTGCATAAATTAGTTTGCTCTGGAGCCATCCTTCCTGAGCTAAGACAAAAATGTGTGAGTCAGAGGCTAAAAAACTGTGAGCTAGCTCACACTAAGAGGGAACACTGGTCAAGACATTTTTTCCTCCAGGCTTGCTGGCAACCCTAGTACACTACAGTGCAGGCATCAAAGAAGACTGCAAGTTGTAAAGACACTAAAGTTAGCAATTATGGCTACTGCATAGTTGCAAGGATGCTTGGCTCAGTGCTTGAACTGAGTGGTCTGGGACCAATGTATCTGCGGGACCGTCTCCTCTGGTGTGTCCCCAGGAAAGCTTTACGCTCTGCAGATAACAACTTGCTGGTTGTCCCTGGCCCCAAAGATGTCTGTCTGTCCTCAATCAGGGACAGGGCCTTTTTGATCTTGGCTCCTGCCTGCTGGAACTCTCTGCCTACTACCACCAAGGCCATGGGATCTTATGCAGTTCTGCAGGGCTTGCAAGGCAGAGATGTTCCACCAGACGTTTGGTTGAGGACAGCAACAGTTTTCATAGCATGACTGCCACCCTCTCTCCTTTCCCCCTCCCCTTAATGCTGATCTTGTGTTTCCTCTCCCCCTGCCCAGAAAGTGGCCAGGTAGTCCAGAACTGGGATGAAATTTTTAAAGACACCGTCTGGGACTTCTTTTTAACCTGGTTTTAAAATTTGTCATTCTGTTTTTGTCAGGGCTATTTTGGGGCAGGAACGCACAGGAACGGAGTTCCGGCTGGCTCCCGAGCTGGCCACGCCCAGCAGGAACTCATTAGCATAATAGGCCACACCCAACAGCAGGAACTCATTAGGATTGGCTACATTAGGGGTGTGTGGCCTAACATGCAAAGGAGTTCCCGCTACAAAAAAAGGCCCTGGGTTTGACAACAAACAAGGTAAACAGAATAAGAAGCAAA